TTTCTTAAACAACATCAATAAAAAAATACTGCAAAATAGAATTAGTACACATTACACTAAATTCTATTTATTTGAAATCAGTATTTAAGTATTTATTTATTATATTTAAGTAAATATTCAATATTTGAGTATTTAAATAAATCTTTATTTCTTCTTATTTTTATATTTATTTATATTCTATATTTTTAAAGAATACAGTTCTAATCAATTTCTTATTTTTAAGTGACAGTCTTCCATATACACTCATAAATTGCATGAGAACTCCCAACCACACCCACATGAATGGCATTAAACAATTGCACTGTAGTGTTAAAGGGGTCATATGATGCTTTTTTAATATGACCCCTTTAAAATGCTATTAATAGAGCCAAAAACCTCACTGAGGTTTTTTAAATCTTTTTTTTTTTTCATAAAATTAAAATATTTTTATCTTCTCTACTCTTTGAATGATCTCAGAGTAACATTCTGGTTGCCTTTGATCAAACTGGAGATGTCCTCCTCCACACTCCTTTATTAACTGATGCATAGCATTATTCTTTAGCACAGAAGCCAGCGAGGAGGTCAGTGTCTCTTTATCAGTAGTTAACACTATTGTGCATTTAATTGCCTTGTCACTGAACTGTTTCAGTACATAATTTACTCTTCGTATGTCATCCTCACTAAAGTCATTATGCTGTAGTACGAGTATGATCGCATGAGGTCCTGGATCAGACAGATACACACCCTCTTTCACTCTCTTAGCAATCTGAACGTGGTAGAGGTCTGGCTGTAGAAGATGAGGATCATTGATGACAGTGATGGGTCTGTCCACTAGTTGTCCTCTAACTCTCTCTGTGCGCTGCTCTACATCAGCTGAAGGTGCTTTACTCTTGTATATTCCCAGGATGCTGTTTCTAACTCTGTTGTTTGCCAGTGCATCTTCCCCAGCAAGACAATCCTGAGCTCACTCACTTTAGCACAGAACAAACACACACACACACACACACACACACACACACACATCATGCAATGCAAAATCACTGTAGCAATCATCACTGAAAAATCTCAATCAAATATGCAGCATCAGACAGCAATAATGTCAAAATTAACATACATTTAAAAAACACATGAGACTGACTGAGAAAAGACTTTTGCATTCTACATATAATAATAAATGTACAAACAGATTTCACATAAGACTAACAAAATAATAATAATGTGAAAATATCAAGTACCAAATACCAAACATAAGTGTAATAATACATTATTTAAATGAATTACTTTGACTTACTGTTTGGATGTTCAACATTTAGACTTTTCCGCCTATTAAGCCCTAATGTAAAACACACAGAGAGACACATTTTTGTATGTGTTATAACTGTATAGTGTGAGCAAAAATAATCATAACTGACTTTAAATTGAATGTGTAGTACTTAATTAACAGACAATTTAAAAATGAACGGTGATAGTTACCAGGAAACATAGTTGAAATTATAGCGTTCAGACTGTGATTGTTTCCTTGTTGTTGCTATTTTTGAGACTTACAAACACCCACTTTGACCGGCGACTCTCTGATTTTCACATCATTTTGTTTCAAGTCTAGACAAAACCAACCAGAGCACAAAATAAACACACAATAAAACAAGCACACTACTAAAGTAAAACTCTCATTTTTGCTAATTATATTCAACAGATTTATTGCAATTTTTACCTATTGTGGACGTAATTTAATCCACATTGCCTTTAAGTCTTCAAATTGAAAGATAGTTTTACAACATAATAAGGTAGACAACGCACCCGTATAGGAGCATGAATGCATAAATCAAACCTGTTTGAGCCTCCCTAATACTGTTTTGAATCTGACACACCTATTTCTTGTCTTGGAGTCTCTACAAATAAGCTGAAGACCTGAGTCAGGTGTTTTTTGATTAGACAGACATTCAAAATGTGCACTTTTGAGGACCACTGTCATAAATGAACATTAGTTGGGTCATTCCTGGGATTCTGTAATATTTCAGTCCCCCAGAGTTTCTGAAGTGGTGGTTCACCAAAATGAATTGTTAGAAGCTTTTCACAAAACTTTATTTGCCCATTATAATGAATAAAAATAATTATTGCATTTTAATATTTTTTAGCATAAAATAATGTCTTATAACTATCTTAAACCAAACATATTGTCATGTCCCTGAGGCACTTCACTGAGTTTGTACTTAGAAAATGATTAACAAAATGTGTATAGTGTCTGTGATTTTTTGGCAACAATGTAATCATTTATTTGTGCTCCTTTCTTGTAAAAAATATTGTTCTAAAAAAAAGCAAAATATTTTATAAAAAACAGACTTTAAAGTTATGTCCCTCAGTCTGAACTCAACCCCGTCACACTAACCATTCTAAGCCCATAATTCATTCAGGTCTCTTTAATAGTGGTGCAGAAAATGGTTAGTAGTATAATACTTTGTATTCATATTTTTGAGGCATGTTACAGTCAGGGTACTATAATAGTATAGTATGTTTATGATAGTACTGTCAAGCTTAACAACTCAACCCCGTCACATAAAATTAAGATGGAAAATTATTACTTTTTCAACATTTTATTTTAATCCATAAGTATATACAATCTACTTATTTTATTGCTGCCACATATAGTCTATTCTCCTACACTACATGAGGAGCAGTGGCCATTTTGAGTGAAAAACCACAACCCTGTTGTGTAACAATATATGTATTTCTCATTGTTACGGGGTTGTAAACTTGTGACAGGGTTGAGTTATTTGCTTAATTTATTCATAATTTTAATGAAAAACAATAGTCATGGTTTCAGTAAATATATATACTCCAAAATCATGACAACTATTTTTGTTTTAAATAGAATTATTGATGTCATATTTCCACTTAAACCTTGACAAGCATCATACATCAGAAATTGCACCCACATTTGCAGCAGAAAGACAATGTTGGCCATGCAGATATGTTGACCCAGGAACAAGGGGATAATATGATAAATTAAAAATTTTAATTTAAGGCATTGTATCCCTTCAAATGTGTTACAGTCTTCAACCCCGTCACACCTTGTTACATTAATTTTTTTAAAGAAAAATATAGGGAAAACAATTAAGAACAAAAGTATTTCTTGCTGATTACCATTTGACATGTTAAGGGCTAAAACAATAAAATTGTGGTTTTATTTAAAATGTTTAATAAAAAAAAATTAAAAAAAATAAATAAATATTTCTTGTCTTGGAGTCTCTACAAATAAGCTGAAGACCTGAGTCAGGTGTTTTTTGATTAGACAGACATTCAAAATGTGCACTTTTGAGGACCACTGTCATAAATGAACATTAGTTGGGTCATTCCTGGGATTCTGTAATATTTCAGTCCCCCAGAGTTTCTGAAGTGGTGGTTCACCAAAATGAATTGTTAGAAGCTTTTCACAAAACTTTATTTGCCCATTATAATGAATAAAAATAATTATTGCATTTTAATATTTTTTAGCATAAAATAATGTCTTATAACTATCTTAAACCAAACATATTGTCATGTCCCTGAGGCACTTCACTGAGTTTGTACTTAGAAAATGATTAACAAAATGTGTATAGTGTCTGTGATTTTTTGGCAACAATGTAATCATTTATTTGTGCTCCTTTCTTGTAAAAAATATTGTTCTAAAAAAAAGCAAAATATTTTATAAAAAACAGACTTTAAAGTTATGTCCCTCAGTCTGAACTCAACCCCGTCACACTAACCATTCTAAGCCCATAATTCATTCAGGTCTCTTTAATAGTGGTGCAGAAAATGGTTAGTAGTATAATACTTTGTATTCATATTTTTGAGGCATGTTACAGTCAGGGTACTATAATAGTATAGTATGTTTATGATAGTACTGTCAAGCTTAACAACTCAACCCCGTCACATAAAATTAAGATGGAAAATTATTACTTTTTCAACATTTTATTTTAATCCATAAGTATATACAATCTACTTATTTTATTGCTGCCACATATAGTCTATTCTCCTACACTACATGAGGAGCAGTGGCCATTTTGAGTGAAAAACCACAACCCTGTTGTGTAACAATATATGTATTTCTCATTGTTACGGGGTTGTAAACTTGTGACAGGGTTGAGTTATTTGCTTAATTTATTCATAATTTTAATGAAAAACAATAGTCATGGTTTCAGTAAATATATATACTCCAAAATCATGACAACTATTTTTGTTTTAAATAGAATTATTGATGTCATATTTCCACTTAAACCTTGACAAGCATCATACATCAGAAATTGCACCCACATTTGCAGCAGAAAGACAATGTTGGCCATGCAGATATGTTGACCCAGGAACAAGGGGATAATATGATAAATTAAAAATTTTAATTTAAGGCATTGTATCCCTTCAAATGTGTTACAGTCTTCAACCCCGTCACACCTTGCCACATTAATATTTTTTGAAAAATATAGGGAAGACAATTAAGAACAAAAGGTAAATATTTTTAAATTCTGCAAATAGTCTAATGTATTATAGTCATTTAATGTAGAGTTCAGGTTTGGGGGGGGATTTGGAAAATTAAAAATATGAAGTTACATAGTTGTCATTGTTTTTTTTCCCCATTGTCATTTAATAGAACTGCTAATTTTACAATTTGTGCATATAGTTTTACAGTAACTAAAAAGTGAGGCAAACCAATTACAGTAAACTTTACAGTATAACAGTATATTTTCTATTGTTTTAAAATGCATTACTCAAGAAAGGACCAAAAAATGAATACAATAATAAAATATTTTACAGTTAAACAATATTACACTGTAAATACATTTACAACAAGTTAAATGACATGGTAAAATAAAATACAGTATTTTTGCTACAAAAATATTTATTTGTGTATATATTTATTTATTGTTTTTGCAGGTTTCGTTCTCCATAAGGCACTAGACTAGAGAACAATGTACAAAACAACGGTAAAATCACAGACGTAACACTTTTCCTCACACAGTAGGGAGCGATAGAGAGTTTTCTGCACACGCTGTTCACTCTGCAGAGGGAGGACGTGCTGTGACTACAGCTAACGACTGAATGAAGTCAGCTGACTTTTCTTGTTCCTCGCGTCTCATCTGACCAAAGCATCTGGACACAGGACTGTCTCATTATCTGAGGTATTTACACATTTTTAAACGATAATCATATAGTTTTTTTCACGCTGAGACCACTGTATTGCAGAAGTGTACTTGTTAGGTTAATCAAACAGAAAATATGATTATATGATTTTCTCAGATTCTCTTTGTAATTTTTTTTCTTTAATAATCATATAACAGTTAATTTTACTGATGTACATTGTGTGTTGTGTCGCTGAATCATTTCTCGCTTCCCCTCTGCATGCAGCTCATTGCAGTCGTTAACATTGACGTTTATTTTCCCTGCAGCACTGAGAATAATAACCCACTTGGATGCTAAACAGATTGCTGGAGAATTTCAGTATATTATCTGTATAATCATTTAAAGTGTTCACGAACACATGAGATGGGTCACATTACTCGCTATAATTAATGGGAGACAAAAATTACCTTAGATTTTCAGCAAAGGTCAAATTCTATCAGCAGCATCGTGATCATGTGATCATGCAGCAGCATCTCTTAGCAGCTCGATGTCCAGTGCACACAACAGCTACAAGCATTAAACGATCTTTGAGTACATCTGGAGAATATATACTTAATATCCTTTATTTAATCCTCTCATCTTTTTCTCTGTAGAGATGATTGTATTTGGGCATTGTAAAATTTGATGCTCAAATAGGCAGCTTACTAGATTTTGACACACAACCGCTGCCTGCTGTTTTCCAATTAACAACAGCATACTAGGTTTGCAGACCACATGTCTGTACAGTTTTGTTCTGTACTGACAGAACTCAGTTTTTCGCCTGTGATCAAAAGTCTGATTTGAACCTATTTCATACCAATTGGATCATTCGTCATCATGTGATTATACATTCACAAAAACCTGGAAGTTAGACTGCTTCCTCTTGAGGTTCTTGAGGAATAACAAGAAATATTTTTATTAATGAAGGTGTCAGTGTCATGTATTTTTTTTACAGAACATTTGGGCTGTTTAGTTGGCTGGTTCTCAACTAAAAAGGATTTGTCATAAGTTGCCACTACAAAACACAGTTTTTCCAGGTTTGCTCAACTGTCTGTTTTCCCGACTTCCTCACATGGTTTCTGTTTTACAGTCAGTGTCATGTGCCCTTGGTCATGTGACTGTGTTCCATGTTTGTCCTACATATAAATGTTGTATAAATATAAATGGGCTTTTTACACAATAGGCAACCTCCTGTCCTGGAAATTGCTATTGTTACTACTGCAAATCATTCTGACATAAATGTATAAAAGGAAACATGATAACTGAAAAGTAGTACATTAAACACATTTATTAATTTTTAAACATATTCAATCTATATTAATATATAAATGAATCACAATAATAAGCAGCTTGTGTATGTGAGCAGAATGTTCAGAAGCAGGGCCGTCCTTAGGGGGGTGCAACTGGTGCGGTCGCACCGAGCCCTGTGCTTGAGGGGGCCCCACGGCAAACGGACCGACGGGGATCACGAACGGACCGAGGGGGGCACCGCTCCCTACCTCGTACCAGGCCCCGCATCAGCTAAGGACGGCCCTGTTCAGAAGTGTAGAAATAAGTATAGGAAGTAAGTTTTTTTGCTTCATTTTGTATCAGACACATTCAAAATGGACTTCTCCAAGCTTCCCAAGATCCGAGATGAGGAGCGGGAGGGACAATTCGGATATGTGCATGGCGTATCTGGACCTGGTTAGTAGGAATTCAGATGTCATAGTTTTATTTTATTTTATTATTTTGAATTATGTTGTCACCAGAGCTTTAGATTTTTTATTTTATGTTTTGATTTATGTTTTTGTTATATCATTAAATTTATCATTTATTTTGATATATATATACATACATTATCTCACAGAAGTGAGTACACCCCTCACATTTTGTAAATATTTTATTATATCTTTTCATGTGACAACACTGAAGAAATGACACTTTGCTACAATGTAAAGTAGTGAGTGTACAGCTTGTATAACAGTGTAAATTTGCTGTCCCCTCAAAATAACTCAACA